ACTTTCTTGTTCTTCTTCGACTGGACCATCCCTGGTTTATTCCTTGATGCCTGCACTCATTGATATAATTAATCCTTTAGATAAAGTATAAAAAACGTACGGAAAAAAAAAATTAAACATAGTTGAACTGATTTTACTCACATCTGCTGAAACCCTAGATTTCTTCTTAGGACTCTCAGATGAATTTTCCACCATTTTTTCTTCTGGAGTTTCAGACTTCCTCTTGAACAGCATTTCCTCGACATAATCACCCATTTCTGCATAGCCCACTTTCCCACTGCCCAAATGGTCTTCCATCACATGCTTTTCCGAACAATCCGGAATCGTTATTAAATTATGATTATCAGAAAAACGAGGGCAACGATCATCATTTGTGTCACTTATTACACAATCAGGGAGATTAATATTTCCTTGATTGGGAAAAAAGTCTCTCTCAATTTCAGCACTACTGTTGCTACTTTCTTGAGAAACGTAGTAAAAGTCAGCAGTACTGTCAAGAGTAGCCGAGGGAAAGGGTACAGCATCCTCAACCCCAGCAGCCACATTTTCTTCTGTATAATTAGCCAAGAAGATCAACCCATTTTCAACTTGATTCGAAAACAAGTCACTGCCATGCAAATTCAGCATGAAATCAGAATTTTCACAGGAAAACACTTCGCTCAATGATTCCCATTCTTCATCAAGAAAGGCTCCAACAGTCTCCATTTTTTCTGCTTTTTCTTTTTCTTTTTGGTAATTTCTTTTAAGGAAAACAAGACTGAGAAGAAGTGTTTTCTTCTTGTACTGAAAAATGGGAAGCTACGCTTGGAATTGCAGAAAATTCAATTGCTATTTATACACAACGAAGGAAGGATATGATAAAAAAGTGGTTGACTTATTAATTAATTTGTAATATTCTAAATTATATTTAAATGGCTTTGTTCTAATACTCTGCAACCAACCAAAACGAGTCCCCTGTGTGGGCCAAACTCAGTACAACTCATAAGGGAGACCAAAATAGCTTTAAAAATTTCTACCTTGACATGGGCTTAAACCACCTTAGAATTCATTGGAAATGTTAACTGTATTCTCCTAATCATTTGATTGCGACTTGAAATGAATCTTGAATATTTAATGATAGTTTAGAGTTTGGTGAATGAGAGTTGGCAGTGAAAAATTTTAAAATCAAAGAAATTGGAATGTGAGAACATGAATTAGTTGAGGAAATATTATAATGTTGAGAGATTCTTTTAAGGGAAAAAGAAATTATAAATATTGAAAGAGAAAGATGGCCATGACCATGGATACGTGTATGACATTCTCTAAACTAGTTAGAAATCCAACATGATGTTGAGTTTCGAACCATTGACCTCATTACTTATAAAAGTGTGCTTCCAAAATATGAAGAAAGCGCGTTTCTGATTTTACACTTTTGTTAGTGGAGCCCTTTAACCGGATTGTGACGCGTAGCACTGTGATGACCGTTTGATTAAGCTCTAGATGCTTTTGGCTTTATATTCCTACGGTGACTCTTTGACTGATAGATTTTTGAGAGAATTTCTAGGGTTGCTTTCGTCTCTTCATCTCCTTCCTCTTTACAAGAATCCCTCATTCTAAATAATTAGGGTTTGAGTTTTTTGAGTGTTCCAGTGATTAAATCTTAGTAAGGAACATGTAATACTCTCGATCTACATACTAGTGTACTGTGTCGTGTGTTTGCATATAATAATCTGAGTGATTCGTATAAGCAGTAGGGTTTGTGGAAAGATCTTAGTGATCTTCTTTGAGTTCTTGGTGGAGTGTGATCTGATTCTTGGTTCTTTCAAAAGATGATTCTTTTTGGCTTGATCTTTGTAATTTTCTGGAACATATTGTATATTCTTGTTGTCGATTTTTGTCTTTATAGTGCAATCGAGTTAAATCCATTTATAATGGATACTCAACATGGGATTAGGTATTAGATATGGTCGTCGAACCTTTGAGGTTATGGTTGAAAAATCATTGTGTTAATTTTTATTTTCTGCACTTTATTGCTTTGTTGATTGGTTTTTGAATCTTGGTTAATCTTTAAGTATTTCTCAACCTTTCAGTTGTATCAGAGCCTGGCATTCTAAAGATTCTTGATCTTCGAGTAAAGTGGATTTTGAAATCGACCTCAAATTCTCTAAACTTGAGCTGCAGGAAACTGAGTTCTTTGAACTCTTTTGGTAAGATCTTTCCTGTACACTATTAATTCGTAATTTTTTTTTAAAGAATTTCTTGAATATATTCCCTTAATTCACTAAAAACCCTCCTTGGATTGGTCTTTATCCGAAGACTCTAAAGAGGTCTTGGGAATCTGAGGTTACAACTTGGTGTAGAAGTGCAACTGG